CCAGAGTACCAATTTGTTAATGACTCAGAAAAATAACATGGCGGCCTGCTCTCAAAAAACGTTCGATGGGTAGAATAAATAATTGAAATAAGAGTTGTGAAAATTGTATAAATTAAAAACCTTCAATCTTTCTTTAGTAAAATTTCGAATTTTCGTATCAACTTCCGATTTGTGTTATACCGTATTTTCAGGGAGTAAGTTATTGATCAGAAAACTTTGCCTTGTTGCTCGAAACGGGTGTATATTAAGTAAAATTTATAAATGTACAGTTCTCAGGTCAACTACAATAAAGCTATACGCTTAAAAAGTTTACTGATTATTTGTCGTAATATACAATAAAAAATTACATATTAATTATTCAAGATACAAGTGAGAAATAAATATCATTAAAATATACAAAACAAATTTATCAATTTGACTCTGAAAAGTAAGTGACATGGTTCTCAAAGTGCAAGGTTTCATTTGACTTACAATTTTCTTCAGAAACACAGAAGAAAAAGGTATTTGTATATAGTTTTGTATATTCACTTTGTTGTGTGTGTAGAGCTTTTAAAAATACGTTGAATTCTTATTCTAATCTAATCTTCTTCTAATGTAATACTTTTCGTACTTCAAATGTTGTAGTAATTATTCTGTAAGAGCTTCGACATTATTTCTAAATGGACATCGAGAAACATCATAGTTTTTTGAGAGCAGGCCGCCATGTTATTTTTCTGAGTCATTAACAAATTGGTACTCTGGAATTACGAGCAATTATTTTTCATTGTACGGGCTAGTATGAATTTCAAATCAAATCTCTATAAACGACTATTATATTTTGTGCACTAAGAATAACATATCGCACTTATTTTCTAGAATCAAATTGTAATCAGTTTTACTTATATGTATGTATATTCAATGTGAACTTGCACCTTGAATAAAATATCACAGTTACTTTTCATGGTAATATATTATTACTAAATTTAGATAATATACACTTTACGTATGTTCACTTTGAACTGGCACCTTGAATAACATATCAGTTACTTTTCGTGATAATTTATTATTAGATCGTTTAAATTTTTAAAGGTTTAAATTTTTGAGTACCTTCTTTTGAACATGGCCTGACCTTTTCATTTTTATGATTTTTTTAGGATATGTTTATTTCCGTGTGCATTTCCCTACGTAGTTCTCGCATGCCTCTCATTATCTCACGTAGCATAGGGTTATCTATTCCGGCCTCCCTATAATTAGGAGTTTCGCGCACCTCGATTTCGTCAACGCGTCTATCTATGTATCGTCTGGTATCGCGGGGGTTAGTTGTTCCTATTTCGCTATTAGGGGGTGGTGCATGTACGTCGGCTGCCACCAGTCGAGTATTGTCGCGAGCTATTGTACCGTGTAGACGGTCAATCTCGCGGTCGATGGCACTCTCGGACACATCCATGCCACCGTTAGGCGGTGTTCGCAGCATGTCCTGATACTCGCTCGGATCGAAAATACTACTATCGTATGATGTAAGCAAGGATTCCCCGCGTTGTGACCCGTTGCTAGGAGTTCGTCTTACGCGTTCGTTACTTTCTTTTCTTAATTTTTTAACGGTGTCGGTTTCCCCTTTTTCAAATAAACTTTCGTCAAAAATGTTAAACGGAAATTTGCGTTCGGCTTTCCCGTGAGTATATGATTCGGAGTCGCTCTCTCCTGAATAATATGCTTCTAATTTTATTCGCACTTTTTCGAGGTTTTCTAAGGTTATCGGTAGTGCTTTGATTGATCGTTCGGCTGAGTCGCTATGTAACCACGATTTATTTGCTATCGCTTGTCGGGGTGTTTCGCTTTCCTCCGACATTCATGCAGTTTATATATAAAAAGTTTGATTCGGACTTACATTAATACGGCTACCATTACTATCGCTCGCTCGCTGACGCTGCAGATCATTGCTCGGCAGTGTTGATACGGCTGGCGGTCCGGTGTTGTAAGGTGATCCGGCGGGTCGTTGTACGGTGCGATGCGTTGTCCGTGTTGTCGTAGGTCGCGTCCTTAGGTGATGGCCTACTTCCCGACGGCTGATGCGTTGTCCGTGTGTGTGTGTGTCTTCTTGTACGTACGGCACGCTGCTGCTTATACGTCGGCTTCTGTTTTGTTCGCTTCCCGTCGATTATTATGTTCGACGTGCCTGATTATTAATACTGCTGTATTTTTCAGGTCTTCCTCCGAGTAGTTCCTGACGGTCCTTCGGCGCAATCCCACCGCTGCCACCAATTTGTTGTGTGCCTCGGGAGAGACACCAGGGGGTCGCGCCAAATTGGGATGGGAATCCGGGGCGTCAGGACTTGTCGGGTGTTTGTAGAAAATGCACTACACTTTTCGTATTAAAATTCTTTATTCAACTTCAACCACTTGGTTATTATTTATCACCAATAATACACTGAAGCTTTAACGAGTGTGCGGCACTGACTTTCTATTACTCCGCGTATCGCGCACAACTGCGAGTCGATGCTAAGTGCGCGCGCGGTTAGCGAGATCGTGGTTAGAGCGATTATTTGTGTCTGCGACTGAGCGAGTTGTCGCGTCTCTACTCTCTTTTTATATCGTTGTTTTTTGGAGTTTTCCCGATCGGAAGGGGTGCCTGGCAACAGGTTTCCCCGGTCGAGAATCTAGGTGCAAGCGAAGCAGATTCAAAGTCCTTCTGCTTTGCTTGCACGTTGACCAATTTCTATTCCGCGTATATCTCGCATTGTATGCGTTTTTTAACGCGGTCAGTGTCTGTCGTAATTGCGGATGTAATACGAGTACCCATTTCTTAATATTAGTTACCTTTTAATAGTTATATCTATTGTATATCTTTGGGGGATATAACAAACCGTTAATACCGCGAAATTGATTTGCGCTCTGATCGACCAGTGAACACAATTTTTCTGGGACGCTACTACTTCTTATTAGGTTGACCGGTGATCCCGAATCAACCACCGCGCCGTCGGTATAATTAAAATCTGCGCCCTCATCCGCCGCTAAAATATCCACACTTACAATGTACGGTCCAGGAAGCGCGGCGGGCCGAACCGCGTCCGCCAACACGATCTCCGTCGATCCCGCCGTCGGACCCGCCACCGCCGGCCGTCCACGCCCAGGACACCCCGCCGCCAAGTGTCCCGACGCCCCGCAAACATAACACGCGCGACCCGTCGGCGGCCGCCCGCAACGTGCCGCGATATGGCCTACCTCACCGCAGCGGAAACACCGCGTCCGCTCTAATCCCGGTTGCCCGGCTCCACCATCCGCATCTGGCCTCACCCTGCCTCCCCGGCTCTCCGCCCGTCCCGGGCCCAACGCCGCTCCTAGTCCCTCGCCGACAGCGGGTCTCGCTCCTCCGGGCGGCCCCATCATCCTGTCTCTGCGCTCGAACACGATGCTCTCGAAGGCCTCCAGCAGTTCCGCTCCCGACCGGAACCTCATCAGACGCGCCTGGTTCCGCAATTGCACGTTCGTAATGCCCTCAATCACATGATCAAGAAGCTCGTCCTCAGCCACCGGGACACGATTAGCAAGAATCACCTTTTCGTGATAATAATTGCTAAATGGCTCGTCGCCCCTCCACATGCGAGCCTCAAATTTTCTCCGGAGCGTGATCCTCGCCGGACGCAAGTCGAACATTCGCGCCATTTCTTCCAGCAGCTCCTCCATTCCCAATGCAAGGTGTTCGGTTTTGGAGTAGAACCAGGTCAATGCCCATCCCTTCAAACGAGAGCCGATCAGGATCCTGGTAGCGCCTTCGTCAAGACGATAGGTGTCCCTGAGAAGTCCGAGCTGACTCCTCCACCTCCAAAACGTATTCTCACTTCCGTCGAATTCCGGCAACAACTCCTTGACACCCCTAAAACTTTCACCACCGGACGATCCCGCTGATGCCACCGAAGAGCCGCGAAACAGCTCTCTCTCCCTTTGAAAAAATGATCTCTCTCTCTCTCTCCCACAGATCCTTCTCTCTCCGCAAAAGATTTAACTCGGCGCGTTCTAAATTTCCGAGGAGAGCGGACGAGGCGCCCTCGTGCCCTCGCACCGCCGCATCCCGTCTCGCCGCAGTCCTCTCCAACGCGGTCTCCTCCGCAGCAAACTCCTCCGTGGAAGCATGTGTGGGAGGAATGCATGGAATGGGGAAGGGAAGAGAGCTGGCAGGAAATGGTGAAAGAGGTGCTAGGAGAGGAGGGAGAAGGGGAAATGTGGTTAAAAAGGTTAGAGAAAGCAAGAGGGAAAGGGAAGGGAAGGATGGAAAAGGAGGGAAGGGGGAAGAGGGAGGACAAGAGTTGAGGGAAGAGAGAGAGGGGGAGAGTGGGTGTGAGAGAAGGGAGAGAGAGAGAGAGAGAGGGAGAGAGAGGGAATGAGTGAAAGAAGTGAGAAAGGATAGCAGTAACCGGAAGCGGAGGTCCCACATAGGTTAAGTAATACATAAGAATGCGAAAGTAGTAAATAAGAAGGCGTAGGATAAGAAAGGCTAGGGTAAAGAGGTCGTGTGTGTGGAAGAGTTGGTAGGAAGTAGATAGGGTAGAAATGCGAGAAAGGGCGTAGTAGGCGGCGAAGCGAAGCGGCGTAGCGTATCATTTATATATATAATTGTCTATATTAATTAGGTTTAAGTTATAGGTTAAGGATTGTATGTAAATGAACGCATAAAGGTTTGAAATCGCTCCTTTAAACAGGAAAAAAGCGCCTTGTAACCTCCAATTGGGGCAACAATAAACGTATCTAATCTAATCTATCATCAACAAGAAATATGTTAATGGCGAGTACTTATATATTGATATAATCTATAATTAAAAACAATATTAAATATTAAATTACTTAACAATTACTTAACAATTACTTAACAATTACTTAATTTTTTAACAGATTATTAATAATGGCGAAAAATTTCGCTGTCGTTACTTTTCCAAGCGATGGAAATAATGAAGAAGAAATTGTATCAGAAGTTCCATCTTTATGGCTTTCTTCCAATTTAAAAGAATGCTGGTGGCTGTTGGTAAAAAAATGTAAATACCTTTATTATAAAACAAATTCCACCTGTTATTGATGATCCTAAATGGGAATCTTATCCCATTAAATTTCATGGATATTATGGTAAGTTATATTTTATTGTAGAATTTATGAAATTGTTTTTTTAATATTTTTAAAAAATAATGTAATTTCTAAATACGATTTTGTCTCAATTTAGATTTATTAGAAGAAGCTAGACAGAGAGCAACAAACTATTCTTCAAATAAGGAAAGCAATATAAATGAAATAAAGAAGTCCGCACAAGACAGTTGAATAAAACTGTTTCTCACGATGAGTCAGAATCTGATTCTGATGACTCACGTTTAGTTATACCAAATCCACCAAATCTTACTGTAAATACAAATGCCTCGCAATCAATTAACAAAAGTCAATCTATCGCAACTGTTATTAATTCATCAGTTGTCAGCAATGATATTGACCTGGAGATTCTTGATGGAATTTTAGTATCACTTAAAAGTAATTTTTATTTTTAAATTCTTTAATTCAATTTACTTATATTATTTTCATAATATAAGTTTTTTTATTACAGTTATTACAGTTATTATTATTGTTTATTATGTGAATAATCTAATATTTCTTTAATGTTAATTTTTAGGTATACAGGATGTACATACGTTAATATCAGATGGATTCGAAAAAATGGAAGGTATTGTATTTATTTTTGTCTTATAATCTTATTGTCTTATAATATACTTTATATCTATTTTTGGCACTGTTTATTCAATACTATTAATTTTTCAGGTCATTTTAAGAATATATATACAGCTATAACTACAGTTACATTAGGAATACAAGAATGAATACTAAATGTTCATTTAACAAATATAAAAAAACAAAATAATCAACATAAATCCAAAGCATCTGTCACGGATACATCAAATATACATCAATTTTTTCCATTTAAAAATATAAATGAAGTAACAGCTTTTGAAAACCGTTTATCAGAAAATGTAGATGAGTACAACAAATTTCATCTAAATAGAACAATAGAAATTGTATTTTTGGTATGTTTTATTTCTAAAGATGCTGTATATATCTCGCATAGGCGGAAGGTCCGCCAAGGAAAATTTAATTCGCATATACCTTTATTTTCCAATGAAGTTGCCAAAGAATCATATTGGAAAGGATTACAAAATCATTTTAAAATTAGTAGCTTAAAGTATATATTAATGGGAATACTAGGTAAAATATATTTTTATATTTATTTTTATAAACAAGTTTATAAAATAAAATTTAATTTAGTGTATTGTAATATTTCAGCAACAATTTCCGGTCAACATCAATTCACAAGCAAAGAATTTGAAGATGTCACAAAAGAATGGTTTCGCCAAGGTGGTCAGAGGCTTAGCAGACAAAAAGATTCCGAAGAAACAAATCCGCAAGTCATTTAAATGTTTCAGATGCTTATGATTTATTTTCATTATAATTTTTTTCTATAGTAGCTAGAGTCTATTAATATAACAAAAATATTTTTCTTTTCCTAATTTTTTATTGAATAATTAATACTTAAGTTTTTAAATTTTTGTGTTCTAAATTCATATAGTCTGCACTGTTTCTTTTCATTATGAGTTCTTATATATATATATGTTATTCAAAAGTATCAATAAATGATGCTTACTAAGTCTGCTAATTCTCTTAAAAAAAATATTTAATTCAAGTAATGACGTTATATATATATATATCAACTTTTTGAAATAAACAGCATTTTCAGGCCTTTTAAAAAACCTCACATTTATTGTCGGTATTGGTAATACCCACAGGAAAGTTACAAGGTCGGACTTACACTTTGTGTGTGTACATGTGTGTGTGTGTATGTGTGTAAGATGTGTGTGTGTGTGTGTGTGTGTATGTGTGGAAAGGGTATGAGTGAGTATGTGTGGGATGTGTGTGAGCGTGTATGAAGTGTGTGAATGTGTGTGGAGTGTGTGTGAGTATGTGGAATGTGTATAGGATATGTGTTTGTATAGGGTGCGCGCGAGTGTATGTGTATGTGTGAGTGTGTGTGTGGAATGTGTATATATGAATAAGGTATGTATGGGGTATGTATGAGTGTGATGGTGTGTGCATGTGTGGGGTGTGTGTGAGTGTGTATATGAAGTGTGACTGTGTATGGAGTGTGTATCAGATATGTGTGAGTATGTATGGAATGTGTATGAATAAGATCAGTATGTGTGTGGAATGTGTGAGTGTATAAAGTGAGTGTGTATGGAATGTGTATAAATGAGATCAGTATGTGTGTGAAGAATGTGTGTGAGTGTATGGAGTGAGTGTGTATGAAGTGTGAGTATGTATGGAATGTATGTGTGTGAAGTGTGTATCGGATATGTGTGAGTGTGTATGGAATATATATGAATGAGATCAGTATGTGTGTGTGGGATGTGTATGACAGACACACATTATATACATACTTACACACATTCTTAAAAACACCTCCCCCCGCATATAAATTATATATATATATATATACTACACATTTATACATCCACACTTATACATTACACACCTCCGCACACACCATGCACATCACACATATCCTATACGCACTCATACACACACACATGCCCCCCCACACACACTTCTCACACATACACCACCCTATGTACACATACTTTTCACACATACATATATACACCCCGTACACACCCATACACGCTCACACACATCGCACACATGCTCACGCGTACCCCACACACGCTTACACACACCCATACTCTACACACACTTCACACATACTCACACATTCCATACACACACACATCCCACACATACTCACATATACCCTTCTCCCCCACACACTCCACACACACACACACCCCATACACATCCCACACACACACCCATACACGCTCACACACATCGCACACATGCTCACACGTACCTCACACACACCTTACACACCCATACTCTACACACACTCCACACACACTCACACATTCCATACACGCACACATATCCCACACTTATTCACACGTACCCTTGTGACGACCCGATTAGCCGTCACTAATCGCCCGCGCTCATGTAAACGGTCCCTTTCGGGGCCACCACACGAACACGTTGGGAATCCGCCTTTTCGCCCCCACCCGTCACTCGACCCCCTCCAAGCTAGTCTTAGAGTGGGGTAGCCGACGGGTATAAAGAGCGGCGCAGCCGAGACTTCGGCACCAGTCCCGTCCTGGTCCCTCGAGCGTACTCAGGGATCACTCCTCAACTCCCACACTCCAAATCACCCCGGCCGACGAGCGTTCTCGTCGTGCAGGCCGAGCGTTCTCGGTCACCGGGTCCTGTCCGTAAATCACCCCGGCCGACGAGCGTTCTCGTCGTGCAGGCCGAGCGTTCTCGGTCACCGGGTCCTGTCCGGAAATCACCCCGGCCGACGAGCGTTCTCGTCGTGCAGGCCGAGCGTCCTCGGTCACCGGGTCCTGTCCGTAAATCACCCCGGCCGACGAGCGTTCTCGTCGTGCAGGCCGAGCGTTCTCGGTCACCGGGTCCTGTCCGTAAATCACCCCGGCCGACGAGCGTTCTCGTCGTGCAGGCCGAGCGTTCTCGGTCACCGGGTCCTGTCCGGAAATCACCCCGGCCGACGAGCGTTCTCGTCGTGCAGGCCGAGCGTCCTCGATCACCGGGTCCTACCCGAAAGTCAACGGCGCCCGACGGAGCTCGCCCTTCTCAGGGCGCCCGTACGCGTGTCCGCGTTGGAAACTTTAGGTATAAGTCGTGTCCGCGTCCGTATAATCTGGCCGCGTTTTGTCCGTAATCTTCCTATCGGTAACTTCTAGTAATAAGTCGTGTCCGCGTCCGTATCATCTGGTCGCGTTTCGTCCGATTATACTATGCTGTGTATAATGGTTTGAATCACGGGAGAACCACAGGAAGGTGGCTCCGAATAAACTCTACTTTTACCAGAGCAACCGTGTGTCATTGTGAATCTGAGTCTCCCCTCTTCCCGAATCCTGGCACCGGCGAGCCGATCCGTGGCGTCGGGAAAGGTGCTTCGTTACACCCTTTTTTTTTTTTTTTTAACGCAGTGGGAATCCTCATGGATACTACCGCTCTCCGGGAAGAGAGCGGATGGTTATGTGGGACTTCTTGTTCCCCTTGGCCGATCCACGAATGGATCGGTCAGGGGGCCCAAGACATACCTCACTAAACCCACTGCGGATACCTTCACGGGCGTTAATGGGGGACGGCCAGGATGCTGGTTTCCCATGCCGACTAGCCGCCCCCCCGCCTAATCCTTCCTTGGGAGGGTGCCGCTGAGGGCGACACTCTCCCCCCCCCGCGAATTGCATCGTGCGGAGGTCCTCGCAGTTGCGACGCAGGGCGATATCGACCCCACGTCGCGCCCTCCCAAAGAGTTTGGGGGGCGGGGTTGCGGCTCGAGTATCCCGCTCGAGCCGCCACCTCCCGCCTCCGAAGCGGTGCTCCCTCCCCCTCCCGAAGGGAATGGGGATTCGGCATTCGCCCCGGAGGCCCTCTCCAGAGGGTTCCTCTCAGAAGGAGAGGAACCCCCTCCGTGGACGGCGTTGCCCTCCCACCGGTGCCCTGTGGCTCCCGGTGAGAGGGCCCCGTGCGTCACGTCTCCGTCATAGAGGGGGGCCCAGGCGCCCCAAAAGACGCGTGCCCCCCCTCGGTCCCCCCGATTACGGCTCTCGCCGCTCCCTTGGGAGTTAGGATTCGGCCGCAATCAGGGGGATTTCCCGTTCAGGGGCGCGGCCGCGCCCACCTCGCCTAGGCAAGGCGGCGCACCCACGCCCCCGATTCTCGAGAGGTCTCTGGGGGGAGAGTCCAGGGACTAGTTGTCCCCGACCCCCCCCCCAGCGACCTCATCCCGCGTCGTATGGCGACGCGGGTGTAAAATTGGCGGACCCTCCCCCCCCCGCCACCACGGGAGAGTAATCTCCCCAATGGCGGGGAAAGAGAGTGCCCGCCCCCCCCTCCGTGGCGGTCTCCTGCGCCACCGGGGACAAGCCCCCCCCGATTCCCGCCACCACAGATGAGCGAGCTCGCCGATGGCGGGAAGAGGGGAGGCCTATCCCGCTCCCACTATCTCCTCCATTACCGGGGGCGCACCCCCCCCCCCCGATTCCCGCCACCACAGACGAGCGAGCTCGCCGATGGCGGGAAAAAAGGGGCCCATCCCCGTTTCCACCGTCTCCGCTTCCACCGAGGGCGCGCCCCCCCCGATTCCCGCCACCACAAACGAGCAAGCTCGCCGGTGGCGGGAAAAGAGGGGGCCCGTCCCCTTCCTCCTCGTCTTCTTCCTCCTCCCCTTCGTCCGAGGGCTGGGAGTTGCCTCTCCCAGCCCTCTCCCTCTCTCTCTCCGCTTCCTCCTTCTGCGACATAACTCTCGCAGAAGGAGGAGAACGCCATCCAGACCTCTTCTCTCGCCACCATCTCCTTTACTAGAGATGGCAGCGAAAGATCTCCCCCCCCCCCGATAGCTGCCTCCAACTCTCTCCTCTCCTCCGACCAGGCCACACACTCCTGGAGTGTGTGGCCGGCCGTGTCCCTCCTTTCGTTGCAATGGTGGCAACGTGTCGTGCGCTCCTTCTTAATACGACACAGATACTCACCGAAGCATCCGTGCCCGGTGAGTACCTGCGTCATTCGGTAAGAAACACCCCCCTTGGCCCTGCCTAGCCATTGTTCCAGGCAGGGCCGGATGGCCCCGACGGTCCACTGCCCTGGCAGCTGCGGGTTTTGCAGCATGCCGGACCAGCTTTCTATCAATTGCCGTCGGGTGTGGGTCCTCAATGTACGCCGGACACCTGCTGTGACGGCCGTTCCCTGCCTCTGTAGCCCGCGTGTACGCCT